AAATAAATAAATAAATAAATAAATAAATAGTTGAATATGAAGAATTGAAGCCTGAGAGAAGATGCAACTGCAGGGAGCAATAGACAAAAACGGCTGCTAGAAGCAAAACCACTGAAAAGAAAACAAATCAAGAAACAAGAGAAAGGAATAGAGCAATTGATTACTAGCTAGGTCAACGACCTCACCTCAATAACCCCAGAAGGAACGGTATATGAAAGCTTCAGATAAATAACTGTTGTGTATAACAACCACCTTGAGCTATCAAGAAAATCTGTATTTCCTTAGATTCTCTTTTAAAAGACAGCATGTAATCCACTTTAGAAAAATTTTCATCAAACTCTGGTAGTATAAAAAGAGATTCAGAAATAAATGAAGCATGAATATTCACTTCTCCAGAACCCTTCATCTCCTAATGATGACAAGTAATGAGGTCCTGCCATGTGTCTACATGTTTAAACAACATATGCACTGAGCACACACAACTTAAAATAAACAAGAATTAGCCTAAAGCACTGTTATGGTCTGAATGTCTGTGTCCCCCCAAGATTCATATGTTGAAAGTCTAATCCCCAAGGAGATGGTATTGGGGAGGTCTTGAGGCAGAGCCCTCATAAATGGGATTAATGGCCTTACAAGAAAAGATTCAGAGAGTGTTCTCACCTGTTCTACCTTGTGAGGACACAGCAAAAAGACAGACTTCTATGAACCAAGGAAGAGGGCCCTCACCAGACACCAAATCCGCTGGCACCATGATGTTGGATTTCCCAGCCTCCAGAAATGTGAGAAATAAATGTTTGCTGTTTATAAGTTACCCAGTTATAATTTTGTTATAGCAGCCCAAATGGACTAAGACAAGCATCCATTCTCAATGAGGCAGTAGGGAGAAGGGGATATATGTCACCCCAAATATGGTAAAAATTTGTTATTGGGAGATGAAAGAAACTAACTCTTTTCATATAGGTTGAGCATCCTAAATCCAAAAATCCAAAATTCAACATACTCCAAAATCTGAAACTTTCTGAGCACCAACATGACTCTCAAGGAAAATGCTGGATTTCAGATTTGGAATCCTCAACCAGTAAGTATATAATGCAAATATTCCAAAATCTGAAAAACTCAGAAATCTGAAACACTTCTGGTCCCAAGCATCTCAGATAAGGGAAGCTCAACTCGTATACAAAGCACAGATGCACATTCAGTACATAAAAAGATAAACAGTACCTGTGGTATTAAAATTCCATGGGGGAGGCCAATTAGGAGAAAAAAAGTCTATAAAGGCTCCTTTGGAGGTCTGGGAAGGAGAGGCAATAGTGAAAACTTTCAATAATGAGAAATAATGGCCTGAAGGAAATTAAGGAGCAGACCAAGAAGAGCTATGTACTTCATTTTTCCTTTCCACCACTCCTTTTATTTGGATTTCCAAAATTAAATTTATTAAATAATATAAAAAGACTGATCACTGACTTCAAATAAATATTTAATGTTTTCTTAACATAAAAGCATTATAAAGTAAAATAACAAAAGCAAATATAGAGGCTTGTGCAAATTTTAGGGCATAAAGTTTAGGCAATTCTAGATTAACTTGGCAACAATTTATATAAGGAAAAAAATACTCACTTGATGGTGGTACAAATTCAGGATGACAGTCACAATCATCTACCTTCAAAGCCTCATCTACCACCTGCCCATGAAAATAAAATCAGTGAGACTTAAAAAAAAAATACAGCCATGAAAATTCAATAGTTCTATAGTAAAACAGAATTTATAACAGGATAAAATTCACCTAAGTGCCTAAAATACACAGCTGGTTATTAAATCTAAATACATAAACAACAAATATATATTTGTTATAATATATTTGTATATACTATAATAAATATATAAGCAAAAAAATTATAACTAACGATAAGAGATCATGATATGATATGGTAAATTCTTTTTTTTTTTTCCTTTTTGTCTTTTTTCGTGACAGGTAACAGGATCGCAACCCTCAGTGTCGCGCCCGTACCGCGACCGGCAACGGGATCGCAACCCTCGGTGTCGCGCCCGCACTGCGCTCAGCCAGTGAGCGGACCGGTCTCTATATGGGATCCGAACCCTCCGCGGGAGCGCCGCCACACTCCCAAGCGTTGCACTCAACTGAGTGCGCCACCGGGCCGGCCCAGATATGGTAAATTCTTGAACAACAATTCTATTTCTGATGCCTGACATAGCAGTTGTTCAATAACATCTGTACTGAATTAATACAATCACATCTTTCCCTATGCTCCTCTCCCTAATTGAATGAAGCCTCTTGGAGATTTTCAATATCATCATCGAAAGGACTATACAGTAGGTTGGAAAAGTTCCCTTCAATGCCCATCACCCACCCAGTGCCAAAACACTATTTTTTTTTTTCTCTCCTCAAACACTGAAGAGAAATATAAGTGTGGATTGGATGGCAGCTGCTGAGCTTTGCATATACTACAGTTCAGAGAAAAACTCAGATACAGGCCATCTGGGATACCTGATCACAGAGCCAGGCTAGAGGCCTACTGGTGCTCTGAAGAAAACATCAGACCAATACTTCTGCTGAGTACAGAAATGAATCAAGAGCTCGGACCACTGCTGTTACGGGCCAGAGAGGCTGCAGAAGATGGGGAAGGAGGGCCTCCCAGGCTTGACACAGCACAAGCTGGGTGGGTAGGCCGATGCAGGGTCAGGAAGCTAAGTAGATTGCAAAAGAGAAAAGGGAGGAAAAGAAAAATCCAAAACGTGTGAGGGGTGGAAGTGACTTTGCCACCAGACCCCAATGTCACTCATTCCCAAGCAACTGTTTGGTTGAGAGACATATAAGGAATGGCATACAAAGAGGACTAAGTGGTGACAGAGTTTTAGAAAAAATATTTTGAAAACACGTAAGTATGATTTCAAAAGAAATTCTGTGACTTTGAAATGTTATTTTTATGTAGTTGTATGACATAGCCAGGTTATTTATTAAAAAGAGAATCATTCTCTTGATATCAATAGGCAAAAAGGTGTTCATAATTGCTAAAGTCTTTGGTTTCCATTGTCACCAAAATATTCCTGTAAAAATGAGACCTCCTATAGTTGAATTAATTTTAGTTATTAACTGAGCTTACCTTTATATTCTGATTACCACCGTTTGCCATTTCGTGGTTAGTTTTTCTAAAATCTCTTTCTGTCTCCACAAAGTTAAGTGAAGTGATAAACGTAGGTGCTGATAAACTCCTAGGTATGTAGGCCCTGAGAGGGGATAAAAAGAATGATCATTTTATTCCTATAAATACACATTTTTAGAAAGTTATCCTTCAAACAAACAGATCAAGAAAAGTATTCTGGATTCTAATATTAAAATAAATAAGTCTCCCTGTTCTAAATTTAACAGCTTCGATATCCTAAGCATCTAAACGAGCATGTGGAAAAAAATTTAATCTATTTTATTTGCCGAATAAGCAAAGGTTCTTAGAACTTGGCTGCTATTTGTTTTCTTGTAGGCATACTCAAGTCTGTCTGTTGCCTATTTCTGACAGGAAATGTCTTAGCCTTTAAGGATGCTTTAAGGGGGCCGGCCCGGTGGCGCACTGGATAAGTGCGCCGCTTGGGAAGCGTGGCGGCGCTCCCGCCCAAGGGTTCGGATCCCACATACAGACCGGTTCCCGCTCACTGGCTGAGCGAGGCGCGGGAGCGACGCCGAGGGTTGCAATCCCGTTGCCGGTCCCCGGTCCGGTACGGGGGCAACACTGAGGGTTGCGATCCGTTGCCAGACACGGAAAAAGACAAAAGACAAAAGACAAAAGACAAAAGACAAAAGACAAAAGACAAAAGACAAAAGACAAAAGACAAAAGACAAAAGACAAAAGACAAAAGACAAAAGACAAAAGACAAAAGACAAAAGACAAAAGACAAAAGACAAAAGACAAAAGACAAAAGACAAAAGACAAAAGACAAAAGACAAAAGACAAAAGACAAAAGACAAAAGACAAAAGACAAAAGACAAAAGACAAAAGACAAAAGACAAAAGACAAAAGACAAAAGACAAAAGACAAAAGACAAAAGACAAAAGACAAAAGACAAAAGACAAAAGACAAAAGACAAAAGACAAAAGACAAAAGACAAAAGACAAAAGACAAAAGACAAAAGACAAAAGACAAAAGACAAAAGACAAAAAAAAAAAAAAAAAAAAAAAAAAAAAAAGGATGCTTTAAGGATTGGGAGGATGGAGGCAGATATTTCCAGGACAGAGGTGAAGGACACAGGCACAGGCTGACTCTTTGATGCCAGAACCCTCATGGCCAAACTGGTCCCATTCAAACACGGAAATGTTCAATTAACATTTTACTCCTCTTTTCCCACAGACTTAGGCTATTGATCTCCAATATATACATATCCAAATGGTTCAGTGACACAGTCAGCAAAATAAATCTGACAACTAACAGATCACCTAATCTTGAACACGAACACTTAAAAAAAAAACAACTCCTATCTTCCTTCCATCCCAAACTTTACTGCGGTTGCTGTTAGCTCCTAAAGCATCAAACACAAGTGATTCTTAAATTCATGGAACAAAGCCATTCCAAGTAGCAGCTACTGACCTGCTGTTAACTCACCTGCTTTCATAAAAGGCTTTAATTGGATTCTTATTTGGTGTTCGCCCTTTAAAAGTTAATCACACACAGTAATCAATGGATTGGCAACATAGACTTCAAAGATTTTCATATTTCTTTTAAGCTGATAGTAAGAACATAAAATTTAGAAAACTGGAAAATAAGCCTAAGCAATTTTACATTTCTGCATGTCTTTATAGTTTTAGGATGGTGTCAATAAAATGTTACACAAACTTTGTCTGACATTCCATTACACGTGATTATTAACAAGATGACAGCAATGTATAAATTTGAATCAGAGGTGGTACCTGTCTTCAAGGAGCTCACAATCTTATGTTATGTTGGATGACAACATCTGCTAGTGAAACAGAACTCCTCAGCTCAGCTCCATAAGACGCTAAATACTCAAAGAATTAAAAATAGTAAAGACCCATATGCTCAAAGTGTAGAGTAAGGAAATTTCAGGTACTGGAGAAAGCAAAATTACTTAGGGGAGAAAACAAGGGCAGAATGAAAATCCACACAACTCCTAGCCTGCACAGCCAATTTCTGATGTGTGTGTGTGTATATACACACACGTGTGTACACATGCATATAAATATATAAAATACATACATACATTCAGCCCACTATAGAATTAGCCACAAACTTGGTGGAAGAACATCAAGCAACTCTACTGAAGGGCCTTTTATTTTAGAAAATAACTCTTAACAATGGAGGAATTTTAAAAAGAATTTTAAAACCATTTTGTTTCAAAAGCTTTTATTTAATATTTCTAGAAGGGGTATTTTCTGTAGAATGAAAAATAACGATTTGGTTGCTCTCATTTTCAAATAAAAAAATACAAGTCTTTTACAATTACCTCATGGAATATAACACTAATATAATTATACACAAATAGAAATGGAAAACTTAAGAGAAATGACCAAGATTATGTAACAAAATAACTACAAATCATCTGAGAATTGATTTATGGTCCTCCAATAATCCAAGAAACTCACCTTCAAAAGTTTTAAAGGGAATTCAACTGTAACCAAAAGAATCTTAGGTGAAATACCTTGTAGGTCTTCTATTTGTTTTTGTAACTTTACATGCTGCTGAATTAGATCCTTGATTCCCTCAGGGTCATTTTTACAGAGTTTTTGAGCTTTTATGTTTGCTTGCAGGGCCCAGTCATATTCCCCCAGCATAGAAAGAGCATCACAATAACGATAATGACCCTGTTCCAAAAAGATAAATTTAATTTTTTCTCAAAAATATGCTTAAGTTAAAGAAAATAGATAAGGAAAACTATTTTGTTTGAAAACTAATTTGTTAAAATGTTAGATTAGGCCCCTAATCCATGAAATAAACATGTTAATAAAATAAATAAAAATGTTAATACCTCAGGAAATAAAACTACCTAATGAGCTAAGTGAAAAGTTATAAACAAGTAAATAATGTTTAACAACTAACTACAGATCAATTTTTGCTTAAAAGATTTCTGTACCCCTAGCAAAGAATTCATCCTTCATTATATCTTGCTAATATAAAATAAAATAAATATTGTGCCAAATAAAATATAAAAGTCATTCATTATAAGTAAGTAATTTAGTTTTTTCAAAATACTTTAAGGCAATAATAGTCTCTAAGTCATGACATTCCCTACACTTCAGGAATCAAAAGGTTTTTAGAGCTGGAAGGAAATCACCTTGTGCAGGGGTTTCCCAACACCTCCAAAGAGCACGGGCAGAGATAAGGGGTGCTTTCTGCTAGATTGTCCATCCATCTCTCTCCCCTTCAATCAACTTCTAATTATTTTCTAAGTGTAGTTCCTGGCTTTAAGAAGTCAGAAAACCACTGATTTATTTTTAATTCTCATAAGGGTTTTGCTTTGGTTTGGTTTTGCCATAGAATCAAATTCTTGCTGGCTCCACTTCTACATTTGGGAAATCTTCTATATCAAGCATTAACTTTTTAATCTGGAAAGCTAACAATACCAAACTTAGGGCTAACTTAACCAACCCCCATCTAGCTACTCACAAACAGAACTCCAGTTTTAGGCACAGTATCCAGTGGGGATGCTTTACAAGTGAAAGAGGCCAGAAACTGACCTGATGTCACACTAACTTAGAGGCAAACCAAAGAACCCTGATCTTATGAAACTGGTTTAGAGCTCTTTCCTCTTTATGTTTTAAAAATAATGTTCTGATTCAATGAGAATCTAAGAGAATATATAAAATCAAAAACAAGTGACCCTTTTTAGGAAAGATCAGCTTTTCACTAAATCATGCACGTTTATGTTTACACAGGGTCAGTACACAAATAATACTCTCTGGTACACTATGTTAAACTGTGAGTCCTGGAGCCTTTTGATCCAGACTACGTAGGCATAGATCAAAGATCCCAATTCTGACTGCATTTCATTAAACTCTGCTTTTCCTTAAAGGGTAGAGGCCCTGTTTCCTGACAACTGAGGTATAAGAAGATAAAGAGATCTCTCAGATATGCTTCAAGGCCAAAATCCTATCCACTGGGCATTTGTCAACTGCATAAAAAAATAAACACTGCTGGCATAGGAAATAATGATAGATCATAAACCATACCTGCTAAATTTGTAGAGAATCCTTTATTTCTTTCTTTTCCCTCCCACTGTTTTCACCTTTTCTGGATCCTTTTTCTCTAAATCTATAAAACCCAGTATAACTTCTGTTGGTTGAGAAACAAGCTTATTCAGACCTCTTTGCTGAAGTTGTTTGTATGGAGCTTAAATTAAAGATATCTAAGAGAGTTTCTTGAACCCAATTACAATAGAAAGTTCTCCTCTTCTTTGACATTATCTAATTCTCTATCACATATGTGGAAATTCCCTATTATTCCTCTGCCTCCCATCCCATTATTTGGGGAATGACCATTTCCCTACTTCTCACAGTAATGGCAGGACTGCCAATTCTAGTGGGCCACCCCAACAATGAAGGGTAGGGCAGAAGCATGGTTGTGACCCAGGAGACTGGCCAACTGAAATGCACCATGTTCCAGGTCACAGCAATCCATCTACAGGTTTACATGTGACTCAATCAGAATCAAGTATGAGACATCCCTCAGGTGGACACTAAAAGAGGTGCTCTTTTCACTGGGATTAACAGCTATTAAGGATATCGGTTTGGGGCTCCTACTACATGTCTTTTTAAAAATGAAGCAAAGGGCTGGCCCCGTGGCGCACTTGGGAGAGTGCGGCGCTGGGAGAGCAGCGACGCTCCCACCACGGGTTCAGATCCTATATAGGACTGGCTGGTGCGCTCGCTGGCTGAGCGCAGTGTGGATGACACCACACCAAGGGTTGTGATCCCCTTACCGGTCACGAAAAAAGACAAAAAAAAAAAAATTAAGCAAAGAGAGCCTATATTCTAACTTCCACTTCTGGTGAAGATGGAGTAATAGGGACTGGATTTACCCTCCTACGTAAAACAAACAAACAAAAAAAAGACAAGAAATATGAAACCATGGCTTGCAAGACACTTATATTAGGCAATAAAAGAGAGTGATCCCTGAGATGGGAAGCAAAGTAAGCCATATTGCTCCCGCTCACTGAGGAGAGAGTTTCTAAGCCAGAAAGGAAGAAACACAGGCAGAGACTGGCAGTCTTTCTCAGCTAAGGAGATAAAGCTGGGAGCCAGGGGACCAAAGCAACTTGAGTTTACAGGGCAGAGGACCAGTGAGGAAAGAGGTACACAGAAAAAGAACTCCGGAGAACTGCAGAAGGTCCCCCTTGAGTCTTCAGCTGATACTGATCAGTACATGCATGTGGGGTAACTACCCAAGGCCAGGGAAAGAATCCCTTGAAAGACTAACAGGGAACAAAAGCTGGAATTCACACAGCACCAGGAGTAATTCCTATTCCCACCAACCAGAATTAAAACGTCATAATTCATAGGGTATCAAGTAGAGTACTCAGAAAGGTTTTGGCTCAGTAATGAGGAAAAAATTAGCACTAGACTAAATGATGTATGGTACCATCTAACAAAGCTTAAATCAAGACCCTAAAGAAGTAAACTGTTTCCAAGTAACTTTACTGCATCCCAAAACAAAGCTCAAGAATATTTACATAAAAACAAAAATATCCAGCACCAAACAAGGTAAAATTTACAATGTTTGGCATCTGACCCAAAATTACCAAGTATGCAGCCTTATGACACCAAGGTCACAGGTTTGGATCTCCCCTCTCAAAACAAAGAGAAAAACAAAACAAAAAAAAAATCCCCGAGGTATGCAAAGAAGAAAAATACAACCTATAATGAAGAGAAAAATCAAACAATTGAAAACAACCCACAAATGACACAGATGACAGAATTAGTAAACAAGGACATTAAAAGTTACAATAACTATATTCCGTATGTTCAAGAAACTAAAGAAAAGATTAAAAATATTGAGACATAAAATATGTAAGGATGACCCAATTTAACTTCTAGAGATGAAAACTATAGGATTTAAGATGAAAAATACATTGGATGGAAATAAAAGCAGATTAGACATTGCAGAAGAAAAGATCAGAGAACTTGACATAGCAAAAGAACCTATGTAAAATGAAACACAGAGGAAAAAGTAAGAAAAGAGACTAAACACACTGACAAACAGGGAAGCAAAGCTGAGAAACAGAAAAATGTTTACAGATCTCAAAGCGAACCCCCAGACTTTTCAGTTAAATGAGGCGTTAAATTCCCTTTTTTACTTAAGCCAAATTTGAGTTAGGTTTCAGTCATTTGCAAACAAGAGTCCTAATATACCCTCCAAAATTAAAAGGTTCTTGAGGACATCAGTAGGTTATTAATTGTATCCTGTTTAACATACATCAAAAGGCAATGCACACAGAAATGTCAACAAACATCTGCTGACTATACCACAAAAACTCTCACTCTTTAGGACACAATGACTCACCCTCTCTAAAGCCTGAAAGTAAATCTAGAGACAAGTAACGTTGTACCAATCTTCTCTGTCTGGGAAGACATAAAGAAAAATGGTCCACCCTCACACAGCAATCTACAGAGTACGTTCCTATAGAGGCTTATATCTTAAAGACATGATTTCACAGACTCATGCTCATAGTTAATTCTAAAGTAAAACAATTCTTATAAAAGTAAAGAATGCACCTTGCATAGTCTACTTTAGCTTCTGAAATTTAAACTATCCTTCAACGAGCATTTCTTTCTGGTAAAATAAAAGGAAAAATAACCTAGTTATGTAGGCATCAAACTTTTCGAATACTTCCTAGGGGGTGTGCTTTCTTATTTACACAAATATTTTTGCAATCATATAAACACATCACAAAACATCCCAATTAAAAAGTGAGTGAATATTTTGTTTGAGAAACTAAGCCAGGAACACACATTCTCCATAAAGTCCTCAAAATAATTCAGGGAGTTTTAGTACTCTTTTTCTAAATTGATAACACATTAAAATAGCAAGAGATGTCTCTGGAAAACCAGTATCACAGTCCGGGTTTCAGTATTCAAAATTCTATCATTCATTCACTCTACAAATATTTATAGAGTACCTACCAAATACCAGTATCAATGATGAGCAAAGATTCTGTTTCAAGCAAAAGAATGACTCATAAAAAAAATAGTAAAAGCACCATCCAGTGCTGAATTCTCAATCCAGTTTTGTCTTTTACTTGTAATGACACCTTGCAGAAGTCACTTTACCTCTATGGGACATAATTTCTTCATGTGTAAAATAAGACTTTTTTTTTTTTTCCTTTTTGTCTTTTTTTTTCGTGACCGGCAACGGATCGCAACCCTCAGTGCCGCGCCCGCACCGGACTGGGACCGGCAACGGGATCGCAACCCTAGGTGTTGCTCCCGCATCTCGCTCAGCCAGTGAGCGGCTGGTCTGCATGTGGGATCCGAACCCTCAGCGGGAGCGCCGCCGCGCTTCCCAAGCGGTGCACTGCAGCAGTGCGCCACCGGGCCGGCCCTAAAATAAGACATTTAAAAAATGATTCCAAAATTTAGATGTAGAAGTCCACCTGGGGAATTTTACGATCTCTAGACTCTTCGATACACTCTTAGACCACCTGAGTCACAATTTTTGGGGAAAAGACAAAGAAACCTGTCTATTTAAAAAGGTCCCCAGGCTGACATTTTCCTTTTACTTTTTACCTTTCTGTATTGTTTTCTTTTTTATCATGTGTTACTTATAATATAAAGGGAAAGTTCATTTAAAAAGAACAAACAATAGAATTAACTCCTCCAATTAATCTAATGAAGCCTACCTGCAGAGCAATAACAGAAGTAGTGAATGATATTAAATTCACTACGGCCCTAAAATTCTATGACTCTACTCACTCTGGTTTTACAAATTATGTAAAATCAGGAATAAACTATGGGGCCGAGCCCGTGGCGCACTCAGGAGAGTGCAGTGCTGGGAGCGCGGAAGCGCTCCCGCCGTGGGTTCGGATCCTATATAGGGATGACCGGTGCACTCACCGCGCTCACTGGCTGAGCGCAGTGTGGCCGGTCTCAGAAAGGACAAAAAAAAAAAAAAAAAAAAAAAAAAAAAAAAAAAAAAAAAAA